TTTTCTTTTCCCCTGAAGTTTTTCTTGCTCCGTGTTCACCCTAAGCAGGCACTCAGGAAAGTAACCCAGAAATCCTGGGCAAGGGCTCAAAAGGATCCTCAGCTATTTGGATCCAGCCTGCAATTCTGCCATTAACCAGTTGGCAAAGAGTTACAGGGATGGCAGCACACACTGCCTGCAACCTCTTGGAGGGGGAGGGATTGGAGGAAAGCTAGCCAGCTGCAGTACGAACTGTGATGCACAGTATTTCCTTGTTACAAAGCCTAGTGCCTGCAAGCACAGCCAGCACCCTCTGCTATGGAGCGGCATGCCTGCTGCCACTTCTCACTCATTCCCAGGGCTGTCCCTGGGGGAGGGGGCAAATTGGGGCAACCACCCTGAGCCCCATGCTTCGGGGGGGCCCCATGCACAGTGCCGTACAGGCCCCACTGTGGCTGCCACATGCCACCACTGCTGAGTGCTACCTGCTCCAGCCCTTCACCGCCACCTCCTCCCCCGGGGTCCCGCACAGTCTAATTACACCCCAGGCCCCACATACCCCTAGGGACGGCTCTGCTCTTTCCTTACAGTTAGCCCACAGCTGATGTCTTCTTTTCTGTCAGCTTCCAGGCTATGCATTTCAACCACTATTGCAGGGCCCATTGATACCAGTTTTACCAGCAACAGCTCAAACAACTTCCTGCCATAAACCAGGCCCCAGGCCAGGAGGAGAAAAAGGCTTTTTTTAAACCTTTAGCTGCTCCTTTTATTTCAATGCAGTGGCCTGGTCTGCACTAGAGATGATTTCCCTGTTATCACAAGTCAGTGCCCTACATGCAGTAACACCCGGAGACAGCTGGTTCAAACTCCGGTGCACTAACCACACAACATGTCCCCGGAGTCTGCACAGAGAAGGAGGGTTAGACCTTGTGTCCAGGGGACACTAATGTTGCACTGTTTCCAGTATTACTCAAATTACCCCAGCCTGGCTCCTTATTTCTTCTAGGCTAAGTACAGATAGTCAAAAAGCCCGAGGCTGAATCAATTCAGTCCTTGCAGGTTAGTCTAAGCTGCATAGACTGAACCAAAAAGGAAGTGAACAGACATTCACTTTTGCTTCCAGAAATACAGCCATGTGTCTGCAGTGGCCCAGGCCAGAAGCTGGGGGGCGCTAGAGCACACCTTCTTGCTCAGCTGGAGCAGACAGCTTGGACCAAGGCTAGCTCGAGCTCGCCACCCTCCAAGGGGAGTTTTGCTGGGGAAGTGCAAAGCATCCTGGGATGCTCAGGGACTGAGAGTCAGTTTGAATGTGGACGGGATCTGGGACAGAAGCTGAATACACCAATTTAACCTAAATCAGTTAAGTCTGATACTACATCCATCCAAGTTTATCTTATACTGGTTTCAATCATTTTGAAAATGGTTTATGTGCACTGAACTTCTGTTGTGTTGCAGATTTGAACCAGTTTCTGATCACTTATACCAGTTTGTGTGTAATTTCTGTCCCTAGCCCCAATGGTTAGACAGCATAGAGAGGCTCAAGTCTGTTGCTGTTTCCAAAGCAGCAGGTTTAATCTTTTGGCTCAAGCAACAGCAACTCATGCACTGACTGCACAGACAGAGCCCTTCCCACAGCACAGCAATGATGCCTAGTGCAGACACTCCGCATGTCAACATTAGATGAGAAGGCTCAGCACCATATCTGTTTGGTGATAATTTATTCAGCTCCTTTTGCTGAAGCCTTTCAGAGGGTGCCACATTTTCCAGATTTTCTCTGCATCAAGAGGACCAGAAATGTACTGTTCTCAGATGGACATTGGGAGTGCAGTGTAGTTCCCCAACTCCAGGAGCTGTGGTGCAAGAAACACCAAATACCATTGAGGTTCATAACTCTGGCATCATTTCCAGCAAAGCTGCAGCATGATTCCTATTCATGCAGCTCCTGGCCCTGTGTTGTTGCTAGTGAAGCCAGGTTCAGGGGGGCTGCCCAGACAGGGAAGGCCTCTCTGTTCTTCCTTGGCTAATTGGTCCCAAGGGGGTCAAGACCTCAGCCTGCACCCAGGCTTACTTATGCCCATGTCAGAGACAGGAGGGTGAGAGTAAGAAACATCCCTTTGGATCTGGTAGTTTCATGCCCTGGTATAAATGAAGGCAGGGAGAGCAGGCCACAGGATGCCCATCAGTCCTGCTTGCCCCATCTGCCAACTGATGCCCCCCTTTGTGGGTAGTAAGTTGTGCATCTCTCCTGGGCTCCTCTTGAGAGCCTTGGTACCAGTTAAATCAGAAAACATTACCAAGAATTCCCTCTGCAAGCACTCTGAGCTGCCTCCCTTCAGCATCCAATATGCCCAGCTCACAAGGTTAGCATGGCAGGCCTTGCTGTTGCAAGCAGTGCCTGCTCTCCCATTTACCAGCCACAGGATGTCCATTTCACTGTGTCAACCTGACTCCCCAGTGGACGTCCCGACTGACCTGGTGATTTCACCTCCTGTTCTAAGGAGCTGTTCAGTCTTGAAGTAGCATAACTAGGGGTGGGTGAATGGTGCATTAGCCCTGGGAACCAATTTAGAGGGACTGCCAGAATGATCCCACCTCCCCCCACCACCCGGGAGCACACACCATAGCAGTTGCAGTTTTTGCACAGTGGGCACAGCACCCCCAGTTTGGTACACTGAGTGCCAAAAATGCTAATTATGCCTCTACTGTCATACATGCCTTACATTTGACCCAAGGGGGGCTTGTCTTTCAGTGCTGGGTGACACCTGACAGAGAACATTGGTCTTCTGAAGCAGGAGGAAAGGCACAACCACAAGATGACTAATGCAGCCCACCCAGGAGACTAGCGTTTGCTCCCTGTTCAGCTAGCCACTTCCTCTCAAGTGCAAACACCACTCAGTCACTGTTAATGTGTGAATCCTGTTAATGTGTGAACTAGATCAGGCTGGGGTGTCAACAGCTAACAGCCAACTCCCCTAAGACAAGGATGGACACTGTGTGCGTCATAAGCTTTCACCCAAGACAAATGTCACTCACTTTTCCAGCAGGGGAAATGCAAGTCCCTTCCCTTTCAGAGAATTCAAAGCACAAATTGATAAGAGGTAAGCGTGACGCTGCACAATCGAGGCTCCAAGAGTTGCTCTCCATAGGGCAGAGAGCCTGCTGGCAACTTTACAGCAGCTGAAATTTGGACCTATGCACCAATGACAGACTCCAGACTTCACCCATGACCATCCTGGCAGGAACCCTGCCCAGGTGACCTCTGCTGACAGAGGCCTTAAAGTGCTACTGTAAAACCAACCAAAGTCACCCTAACTAGTTCCCCAGGTCCCTCCAGTCAGGTCCTGAGAGAATATTAGTGCCTCCTGAGGGAGGGAGTGCCACCACAGTCATCTACTCAGAAACTTGGGAGCATCACTGTATAGCTATATACCAGGTGGAGGGAGCCTGGGGACATCACTACAGCCATCAGCCAGGAGAGGAGACTTAGGACCAGAGCTGCAGCCATCAGCAAGGGAAGGTCTTGTGCTCCTTCTAGAGCTGACCCCAACACTCAAGTCCTGCCTTCAGATCCTTTGGCCCCTGGTGTCAGTGGTGTTCAGGGGAGGGTTAGCAAGGGGGCACCTGAGGACCCTGTCAGAGGCTGCTGCAGAGTGAGAGCAGAGTCCCGAGTCTAAGAGCATGCCTGCATTAATGCGACTGTCCTGTGACAGTGCACTTGTGGCAGCTTTACTTAGGCAGGAGCAGCACCACGAGCAGTAAAGATGCAGCAGCCCAAGCTTAGCATGTGCTGGGACCTACCTGTGTGTGAACCTCCAAGGACCATGGGCATGGGCTGGCCACTAGAGATTGCGGCAAAACCACCACTCCTTCACCGGTACTGTTGTCTCTGAGGCTAGATGTAGCTAGTACGGTCCCACTTTCCTTTCCTCTACAAAGGTGGCTGATGTGATTTTAATCTAAACCTGTTAGGAAGGTGGGGAGTAGGAACTGGCACTTTTCTGGGTGAGCAGGCAGCCTGGGCACCATCACAGACAACCGGAGGCAAGGCAAGTACCAGTGCTGCAGGTGCTCCTCATCCAGGCCACCGAGCACTGCACAGCCATACCCCATACCAGGAACGCCCACCCAGCTCTGAGCAAACTGCCACCAGGGCCCCCGAGCCCACCAGCCCCTCTTCACATCACATTAACCACAGCAGCTCTCCACTGACCCACGCAATGCTGCACACTGGACCTGCTCAGCACACAGGCCCCTGTACCCAGCGCTCCTCTGCCGCTGCACCAGGACTTCGTGGTTTCTTACATTGCTTCACAGCTCTTCTCATGTGATAGGATGTCACAACTGAAGCGGAGGCAGGGTGCAAGGTGCAAAATAGCACTATGCTACTTGTGCATGATCTTCTCACCAGCCCCCTCGTGTTTCAGGAAGGCTGTGGTCCCAACAAAATACCACCCCTGACAAGAGCAGGCTGGGAGCAAGATGACTCCCCACTCACCATGGCTTGGGCCACAAGCCAATGCTTCCAAGTGCTTTCAAGCACATGAAAGGCAAAAGCTCCCTCTAGTGGGCACACAGGGATTCAGCTGCGTGTAAGCATCCGAACAGGCCCTTGTTTCAGCACAACAAACCAAATTAGTTTTTTGGCAACTCAGAGAGATTGGAGCCACCCTGTGGTAACCTCTGAACCTGATACGTAGGTCTAGCAAGTGGGGTGTGGACTGTATGGGTTTAGTTTAATAGGAGCGCTAGACAGCCACCTGAGCAAGCACAAGATGCACAGAGGCAATGTCAGGACTACTAGGCTTAATTACTTGGTTCCTGTGTATTCCACAGGACAAGCATCCAACTGTTGCACAAGCATCAGCTGTGAGCCTCTCCGGAGAGAGATACAGAATCCCCCCACAGCCAAGCGGTACTCCGAACTTCTCTGTGCCCGTGCAGGGAGCCCCAGGCGTGGCCTGCAGTGCCTTGCCCTAAGCCACCCATGTTCACCTCCTGGCTGGCACATCTGCCCCACCTACCTTTTCCTTTCACTCTCGCATGACTGATCTTCCTCCGTCTCATCACATGCTGCCCTCTCTGCTTCCTCAGTGAGGATCGGACAGTAGAAACGGTGACACGAGGGGACAATTCATGCCCTGGCTCCACGCTGCAGAGACCCAGATCCATCCCTGCTGGAGAAAACACAGCATGGCTGAGAATGGCCTCATTCGGCCCATGGCACAGAAGGGGAGCTGGTACACTTTGGGGATGCGCAGCTCCAGCTTCACCACAACGCTCTTTTGTCAGTGCACTTTCAACGCTGGTCAGGAAACACCCTGTAGCTTCCACGGTAAATTAAGCACAGCTGCAACTTAAACCCAGCCTAGTTCCAAGCTGGACACCAGAGCGGAAAGCTTTACCATCCACATTAGGAAGGGGAGTTTCACTAGGACCCCATGTTCATTCAGAGAATCGTAGAAAATGAGGGTTGGAAGGGACCTCAGGAGGTCATCTAGCCCAACCCTCTGCACAAAGCAGGACCATTCAGATCTGTTCTTTGACAACACAGAGACGGGCCAACACTGAGCACTTCCAAAAGGCCACCTTAAAACAGCAACCATTACCAGTGTCAGTCTGTCACACAGAGCATGCAGGACCAAGTGCCTTGCCTGGCACACAAGCAATGGCTCTATGGAAGGCCCCTTCAAAGGAGCTAGAGACGATACATTGGAATACTGTGATGGATAAAGGCGTTTATCCTTTATAACTCTGCCAGAAAGAGTTTCAAAGGCCGTTCTGTTTTGTAGTGGCTGGTTAGAAGTGTTTAATCTCCAACCATGAACCTGTAAAATTAGCATGGTCAGTAAAAGCAGCACCGCAGACTTCAAGCAAGCTGACTGACTGTCATGCTTGCTTTCAATAGGTCTGTGGAGAAGCATGGGCTTTGTACAAGGGAGTAAGAGCTTGGGGCAGCTATACATGAGTGTGGAGGCTGCTCCAACACGCTGGACTTCCAGCAAATCGGAGCAGATTTGTTAATCGAGTCTGCTGGAGCATGGCAGTTACTGTGCACCAGCACCAGCAACCTCCTGCGTCTCGTGCATCAGCATCCCCGCACTTAAAAATGGCAGTGGGGGCACTTGAACTACAGCTTGTTGAACAAGTTTTAGTTCAAGAGCTCCTGCTACCATTTTTAAGAAGCTGCAGAGCTTTAGATTGGCTCTCAGAGCTAATTAAAGCATTGCCCCCCCCCCAACACACACACATGTAAAAGTGCCCTTGGTGCCCAGATTTAACTCCACATAACCTGCTTTCCTGTCCCTACCTGCTGGCCATAAGTATAATACAGCACCTGGGCAGGTTAGAAGCTACCAAGAAAGGAAACCGGACTACTAGAGAAGAAATCGAACCTTAATGGACCTTTTCTAAATGTCCCCTTTCTCCCACCCCAAACACATACAGATGTGTATGCACACACAAACATGACAGTGACCCAGCGACAAAGATATTACATGAATATATCCTAACCCCAAATCCTGCAGACGATCTTACCCTTCTTCACCCCACCATTAGCCTGTATGGGAGAGCAGTAGCAGAGAAGTTAAGATACAAAGCCCCCAGCTTACACATGATCCAGGAGTCACAAGAGAGTCTATTTTGGGTTTTCTTTTCTCATCTCTAGACAGTTACTCTGCTGTGTTCCACATTGCATTAGCCTGGAGTAACAACTACATTTAGAACAATATCCTAAAATGTCACTGGATGGAAAAACTCCTGGCTTAGCCCATCACAAGGCTCTGTGACACCGTGACAAGGACATCTGTGTAGCTCAGTGAGTACGTGCTTCTTATTTGTGCAATTTAACCTTCAATGACTGAAACCAGTGAACCAATGTCAAGAAAAGGAGAGCAACAGTCAGGATCCCGTTGCACCAAGTTATTCCACCACAGCACAAAACCAACAACAAAAGGATACTACTTGAAATTAAAAGCTCTTGTACTGAGCAGTTGCCACAAGAGAGCGGGTCACTCTGCTCGCTATGTGGGTAAACAAGATCCATTCAAAACACATCCCAACACATTCAGTTTAGTTGTAAGCAAGATTTTGTTCCCAGTATTTTCCTGATATTTAATGCCCTATGTCAGGGGTGGCCAACCTGTGCCACACATGCCAGAAGTGGCACGGGCAGCCTCTGGGTATGGCACATGGCAGACAGAGGAGAGGACAGGGACCACAGTGGTGGATAAGGCAAGGAACAGAAAGCAGAGCAGCCAGGGGAAGGGGATCAGAGTGGCACGAGGGGATAGGATAAGACTAAATTGTGGCACGCTTGGCAAAAAGGTTTTCCTCCCAATCTGTTTCTGGGCAACACAGATCTGCACATGCACTCAGAGGTACCGTCACAACACAGATGTTCCCATCTCACATATTGGCACAGTCCTAGGAAAAGAAGCCCTCCTTGGCGCAAAGCGGTTTCTGGAAAACAACGCAGCAGGGTCTGTTATTCTTCATGGAGTCAGTTAGCTCGAAGGCAGCTCAGGGATGTCTGCGCAGTGCTTGAGACAGCTGCCTCTCCTGCCATGCACCCCAGCAAAGACAGGCTCATATCAGTCACATGCAATCTGATGAGGTGAACTTGGGTTCACAAAAGCTTATGCTCTATATATATCTTATTTAATTAGTCTATAAAAGTGCATATCTACCCTGCCTTCTGACTGGCTTCACACGGCTAACTACCTCTCTCTACTTCTACCAGTCAGACATAGCAGATCCAAGTGGTGGCAAATACTGAGGGGTGTAAAACTAGAGGGTGATCTGAGGACATGTTTGCAAACAGCACTCACCCAGTATCTCGGGAATGGTGGGCAGGTCACTCAGTGCTGTGCTGCCAGAGATCCACCTCTCAAATGGATGTAGCAATATCAGCTAGCTCACAGGGCTGGACCCCTCATTGCCAGCCTTGTTCATAGAGGACTTTGGAAATAGAAAGCACTAATAGCTCAATAAATCCCAGAGAACTGAGGAAGTAACGCCGAGAGGGATAGTGCCAGGACAGGTATTCAAAGACAAGTGGCCAGCAACCCAACCAGGACCTGCTGGCACCCAAGGTTACCAACCGGTCCAAATCCACACCCATCCCACTGCCCTCTCTGACCAGGGGGTCAGCAACTGAGCAACGCTCCATGGCAGCAGCCAGGAAGGGACACCTGCCCTTTACTACAGCAGCCCATTCCTCAGGCCTCTGGCTACTTTCACTAGAACAGGGTTGGGCTCTCTTGCAGCCGAACCGTGGCTGCATTTACACAGGCTAACCCTAGAAATGGGTTTTCTGCTCGAAATGCTTGCTTGCATTTCAGGAAAAAGCAGCAGCAGAGGAGATGCCAAGTGACCAACCAAGGGAAAGGAGGACACCCCCTGGTCATCTCATTTATAGAGTCCAAACGGACAGCTATTGTGCTGCAGCTTTAAATCATGGCCCCTGTGGGAACAGGGAAGAGGAGACAAATAAAGACACTGACACTTTATTCTCCCAAGGCCTCAGAACAAAGAGCTGGGCTCTGTTCGGTCTGGATGCCCTCCCGCTGTGCTCAGCCTTCAACTTGGGAAGCTGCAGGGGCCTGTGGGAAGGAGCAGGGAAAAGCATCCAGCAAAGACCTTCGGTTATTTTAATTGCTGCCAGTTATTTATAGCCCGCAAGTGCCCTGAGGAGCATTCAATGATGTGGTCGGTGCTAAGAAAGGAAGCATCCAGTACTGAAACAGCCCCCGATCCTTTGAGTGGTGGGGGGGAGACACTCTGCACACCATCCCCTCACAGGAAGGGCAGAAAACCCCAGCCTGGGGCAAAACAGCAGGGGATGGACAGCCCCAGAAACAGCAAGGCAAGACTCAGCCAAGCAGACGGCCCAGGACCCCTGCACTGTTGGAGAGGCACTTTCCTGATGGTGGAGAGCGACTCTGCCCCATTTCCCAGCCAGGCGAAGCTGCTGCCCTCCCTCCCATGACAAATAACCACATCACCCTGAGAATCTAGAGCCAGCCGCCCCAAGCCGGCACTGAACGAGCAAGAGCTGGCAGGAGAGAAGCGGCTGGCCACACTCCGGGGCTCTTGCAACTGCTCTGCCGTCTGTGGCATCGCACCAAGAATGAACATGGCCCGCTCTGTCTTGGGCGCCGCAGCAATTAAACTGGATGTCCTCCTGCTGTCTCCAGCTTGGAGACAGGAGCTCTGGGTGGAGTGGGGAGGGAGACCTTGACAAAAGCATTATTTATTCTTTAATTGCTGCTCATTTATTTAGAAAGCCAGCTGTCTTTGGAGAGCAGGCAGTAATTAAAATGCAGCAAGTAAACAATCAATGCTAACTAGTTTCCATGGGCAGGAACAGACCACAGGAGGACACCTGGGTTCTTCTTGCTTTTAAAGAAACACAATCAGTTTTTTTTTGAGTAGAACCTCTCATCTTCGCTGTTACATGGCTGCCAAGCAGCTCCAACTGCAAAAATGCCCACTTGCTTGGAGCAAGCTGGCCTTGTGTGCAGTTGGGCCACAGGCAGGTAATCCAGAAGCTTGCTTGGGTGACAACCTGCTGCTAGTAGCTCCACCCAAGGACAATTTGGGCAAGAGGTTTCAGGCCACATGCAGCAGCTAGAGCAGGAGTGGGCAAAATGCGGCCTACGGGCCAGATGTGGCCCGCCAAGCCATTCTATCCAGCCTGTGGGGCCCCTAAAAAATTTAGAAAATTAACATTTATTGGCCCCTGGCTGCCCGTCATGCGGCCCTCGATGGCTTGCAAAAACTCAGTAAGTGGCCCTCCACCTGAAATAGTTGCCCGCCCCTAAGCTAGAGTAACAACACACAGGCTGAGTCTGAAAGAAGCTTCCACAGGACAAGCAGGGAGATCTCAGAGGGTGATGATGGGCGAGTGCATGTCATCCCCTCAGGATCATTCCTGCACAGTCCCTCAAGGCTCTGTCTGGTCACCCATCCTATTCAATGTGTATGAGGCCACTCGGTGAGATGATGGGGAGATTTGGAGTGAGGTGCCATCAGTATGCTAATGACACCCAGCTCTACCTCTCCTCTTCTTCTGACCCTGGCCCCAGCCTCAGTCCTTTCTAGATCACAGAGGTGATGGTGGGGGGCAGACCATAGGACTTGAGGGGAACTGGGACACCTATCACTGATGGGGTTCAGTCTACCACCACTCAGATTTGCAGCCTTGGGGTGCTCCTGGATCTTCAGGTGGTAGCAGCAGCTAGGAGCCTCTTCTCACCAACTCCATCTGGTGAGAAGGCTGTGACCCTTTCTTTCAGATTCAGATCTGGACACTGTCACCCATGCCCTAGAAAATGGTCTGGAAGCTGCAGCTGATGCAGAATGACCCAGATTGGTTGCCAGGAGCAACCTTCCAGCATCTGCACTGGCTCCCAATAGCTTTCTGGATGCAATTCAAGGTGCTGGTTTTGACCTATAAGGCCCTAAATGGTCTCTCCCCTATGTACCTACTGCCTTCTCCCTTGCAGCACGTTGTGATACTTCAGATCAGTCAAGAGCAACTTCCTGGAAGTGCCATCAGTATACCAAATCCACCTGGCAAAAACCTATGACTGGTTATTCTCAGCTGTGGCTCCCGAGCTCTGGCACTCCCCCCCACTTGAGGCATGCCTAAGCCTGACCAACTTTGAGAAGCACTGTAAGATCTTGCTATTTGGGCAGGCTTTTAGCAAACAAAGCTAGGCTGAGTTATTGCTTAGTGGGTTTCTGATACTGATATTCTAGTTCCCCTTTTCGCTGTTTTGTTCTCTTGCCCATCTCCTGTTCTACAAGTTATTCTGTTCTCTTACTATAAGCCACCCTGAGCCTTTTTTGGGAAGGGTGCTATACGAATTGCATAAGGGGCATTGGGTCAGGAGATCTGCTGGGTCATTCAGCCTGCAGGGTAAGCATTTAACATTTTCCACAGCCAGCAACAAAAGTGTGCTTGAATCAAAGGGCTCAGGCCTCCACAGCCAGGTCTATCAAAGCAGGGAACTGGGATGCTGCAGCAGGATGTGCTTCATAGATGGCGCTGCAGTACTGGCAAAGGTGAAGTCTGCATCTTGGCTCTGCTGAGCAGAAGGATCCCTACAAACCCTGAGGGTCTTTTACACATTCAAACTGCATGTGGAAAAACCAGAAACCTGGGACCAGGCACCAGAAGCCCGAGATGTGAGGGGGAATACTGCAGACCAGTGAAGGAGGGAATTCGGTAACTGCACTCTGTTTCACATGCACAGGGCCCCTGTTCCCAGTAGAGCACCTTTCATCTCCGTCTCACCCACTCATGTCCAGCAAATACAACAAGAAGGAGCTGCCCATCACATGACCATTTGCATCTCTTTGTTGGCATGTGTTCCCTCCTGTTTGCTCATATCTATATGCTGTCTTTTTGGACTTAAGTGGTAAGTTCTTCAGCACCATCTCCTTGTTCCATTCAGTGCTGAGCACAGTGAAACCCTGGACTGTGATGGGTGCACCTGCAGTGGGATCCCCATGGACAAGGCATGTCCAGAGCCACAGTTACTGTGAAGCAGCCGTTCTTCTGCAACTTGTAGCTCAGTCAGCCTGGGTGGGCTGTCTCAGGGGCAGCACACGGCGCCTCTCAGACCTCAGAATACACCCTTCCCAAATCCCAACAGCCTCTTGCAAACACTTGAAGCACAAAACCTGTTTACCTAACTGCCAGGAAAAGGGCACTGTACATAACCAAAACACCCTGCTCTACGCTGACCTGCTTCTCAGAACTGTTTAAACCCCATCTCTTTGGGGAAACCTTCCAAAACCCTTCAGCCCAAGGCAGTCCACAAATGCAGAATGCTTTAGCCCAGAAGGTTAAAGTTTGTCTAAGTTATAAACAACAGATTTTGAGTGCAGGGCATGCTTCAACCTCTGCAGTCTTGCTGGGGGCATCCCTTAGACCTCTGTTTGTTGCATGGATGAACCCAGCACCTGCACTACTCATACTGTTTCCTTCAACCACCTGTTTCTTACTATAGCTCACCCTTTAGATCCAAATTAGTTTAGGCCCTGTCAGAGACCTTGCTTCTTTGGAAAGCAAAACAACCCTAAAAGATGCTTAAGATCTTGGCTCAGTGACCATCAGGTCAACCTATTGGCTATAATGAGCTGAAACTGCCATAGATCATACCTCTGTCATCATCAGTGCAGCCAGGTGTGTACAACAACACAGACTGACCTTCAAAACAAGACAGCATTTATTAGGTAAGTGAAACCAAGGATGTAGGGCTCATTGACTGGAACAGAAAAAGCAAACCTCTACCCACATGCCCGGGCTCTCTCTTTACCACATAATACCCAGGATTCATCTCCCTTTCCCCTGCCCTGACAATAGAGTTTGCATAACACATATGTTCACATGCTAGTCCTGTGCCTTGGGTTGCAGTTGCACTGCATTGACATGTTCTTTTCTTTCTTTCTGACTCATTAAAAGTTAGCGTCCAGAAGCAGCTCCTAAACAAGTCTCGACAGCTCATCCATACCATCTCAGGAATGGCTATTGCCTATGTTATTCCTTCCCATCCCTTATCCAAGGAAAGCAGTTCATTCCTAGGTGCGCCAAACTTATGTTCTGTTACAGGAATAGATCAGTTTTGTGTGCCAAATTTCTGTTCTGCTATGGGTATAGACCGGTTTCCGATCACTTATACTGGTAAAAGCATAGTGCCTATCCCTGGGCACAGACTTTTCCTCTGTACAGTACTAGTATTGTGAACTAAGAACTTTGGTGTCCAGAAATATGAATGAGACACCTTTCCAGACACCACATTCTCTTTGCTCTTCCTATCACATCCAGAATCAAGAGCCAGATCTACAGCTGAGGTCCCCCTACCCCACCGCCTGCTCTGCCTCCTATGCCTGAAATGCTGCTATGTCCACACCTGCCATCATCAGAACCAGTCCTTTTTCACATCTCGAGAAACCCCATTGGTTCAGCATCAGCCATCACTGGTGGACAAGCAAACAACATAAAGCAATGGGCTGCACCAGCTCTGGAAATGGGGGAGATGCAAAGCTCTGCAAATGGTGGCATTTTCTGTTCCATTTGGCTCCACCCAAAATATCTCATTTGATCCAAAATGACCTTCATCAGACCTGAAATGACATGTTTTATTTCACTTGGGACTTATTTAGCCCTTAAAAAGAATAATCTCGACTCCTAAACAAAAACACTAATCCATAATGACAACATACAGTATTGAAAAGAGTTAGATTTTCCCAAGTCCCCTCCCTTTTATTTTCTGGCTGGAACTCTTCAAATTCATGAATAATTTCAGTCCCCTGAAAACTGATTTTTTTTCCAGTACAAGAAAAATAAAACTGTCCAACAGAATCCAGAGCCATGAAGTTATGTCAAGGAAGCGGGGGCTGTGTAATCACTCTGCATGAGACCCGCTTCCCGCAACCTCTGGGCACTGGAATGCATCGAGCAAAGGCAAAGCACTTAGCTAGACAAACTACCACACGCTCCAACGGACTTTGCAACATTTCCAGGGCACCGCTACAACCTCCCCCTGTCAAACCTGTGTTATTTCTCTTCTCCTCTGGCGAGCCAGTGGCTCCCCCCAGTCAATGCATTTTACATCCAAAGAGAATACAATATTTGCTTCACATGCCGCCATCAGTATCCTGGAAACATCCCATTCTCAGGCAGAACATCCTCACCCAATTTTTTTTTTATTGCAAAACTGTTTTTTAAGGAGAGAAAGAAAGGAACAATGAGACTGTCACAAAAGGGCACTGTCTCTTTAAAACAGCTTGCCCAGCAGCTTTTGAACAAGGGGGTCACAACTAGATTGGGTTTTTCCTAGCTGTGCCTTCAGCTCAGCCAAAAGAGAGAAAAAGAAATAACAGTTTAAAAATGAGTTGCTGAGGAACTCCTAGGAAACCAAAATCAAACCCCATAGACCCTGGGCACCCTCCACTAAGTGCACAGCAGTCTGGAAAGTCTGTTCAAAGGGATCTCAAGTTCAGCACCCAAGAACTAAGGTACCCAGAATGAGCAGCCCTTTCCAGACACTCTGGCAGGATTGGGCCCATCAGGCTGAGCAGCGTGAGATGCTGACAAAGGTACCTAAAATTGGGATGTATCATGTCCAGTACTGCAACGGCCCAAGTATCTTCCAAGCCCGCTTGACTGGAGACAGACAGCCTCAGCACTCCCCAGGTCCTGAATACTGCTAATTTTTAAATAAGCAGAGCTCACTGGGCACCTACAGGTAATCATTAACCTATAATCCAAGCAGAGACAATAAGGCAACAAACAAGCTCCATGCTATTCGCCCTTGCATCTGTTCCCTGGAAAAATTCCCTGCCCTTCCACCAAAACCTGGTTTCTCCTGACAGAAGGAAAACAGGAGAAGCCTAGCAACGGCATTAAGGAGAGCAGCCCACACAGCTCTCATCCACCTGAACTTCAGTACTGACTGCCCAGTCCAAGTCGAGACATCTAATCAGAGCACTCATGACTTCACTCCTTGATCTCTCTAGCATGGCATCTCTTCCACAGGCCCCAGCCAGGAGGGTTACTCGTTAACACAGACCTCCATAAGGAGATGCAGGAGAAGGAACGGAAAACATTATTAACGTATTCAGCACTGAAACTTTGCAATCACTTCTTGATTTACTTTCCATGAGCCTTTGACCCAGGCAGGATGGCAGAGGCAGTCAGCAGTCCTTGCTCATGTTCCTCTGCCAGAAGGGGAACAACTACGGAGGGGGAGGGATGCATGAATAAAGTCCTCTCCCCCACATGTTCCCAGGAGCAAGAGCAAGGTTGGTTCGTAGCTCCCATTGTGGTGATCTAATCCCCCAGGCACTAAAATTCTCCCGCAGTTTATATTAACTTTTACAGCAAAGTACACTTCAGATCTTGGGGTTAATGAATTTCCTTCTAGGTTTAAGATTTTATATGGTTCACCTCCTACAGTCCCCAATCCCCCAGTGCTATGTAGGTACTTGCTTTGTATATATGGGCTTGAATAACCAGACAAGTGTGTTGGGGCTAGCCTAGATTGCTTTGGCTACAAACAAAATCCCTCTGTATTTACAGATCACCTGAGCAGGAAAACCTGGTTTTCCAAATCAGTGTTGAAGAGCAAGAGACAGTCGGAGCTATTCCTGTAAGCACCTCTTTCAGGACTGTTTAAAAATAACACGCCATTCCCAGGGCTGAGGCAGGTGTCTCGCTGTCTCCTCCAGTGTATGAACAGGAGCAGATCGCCCCCTCACACGTCATTCCCAGCAGTATTGAGCTAATAAGCCAACTGCTGCAACTGAATTATTTACTTCATAAATGCTCTCCCACCACACTGTGGTTTGAAGAAACCAAAAGGAGAGGACTAGTTAGTGCAGCAGACTGCCTGAGCTCTGTCGGTGGTCTAAAGCTAACCCACATCAGTAGCCACCTCGAGCCATCCCCCTGGAAGGGGGATTAACAGCTGCTATTGGTGTCAGTCAACTCCAACATGACAAAGGCCCTTCAGTCACAGTTGGTGGGACTATCCCTCTCACTGACTCTTGGCAAAAAAGCCAAAGGATGAAGAGTCCCAAGAGGACCTGCTCCCTTCTCACCCCAGCAACAGATCCCTCTGTACTAAGCTGGAGGCAGGTGGAGGTGGAGGCACCTCAGTTGTCCTTGGGCTCCTGACCAAGGGCCAGAAAGCGAACACGTGACGGTGCTTCCACTCTAGAGTCACATGTGCTGCATCTCACGGGAGAAAGCCTTAAACACAGAGGTGAAGGCATGTAGCATTCGAATAGCAACCCCCCAGACCAAATTCACCCCTGAACTCAGCAAGGGACTACCAAATGATTGTTCTGCTCCATCACCACCACGATACCATGTACCAGCAGCCCTGGGCAGTTTACAGCTGTGAAATGGCAGGTCAGCCTGGCCCCAAAAGCCATTCAGACTGATGCAGCCAGGGTCAGCACTGTCCCTTGTGCTAGGGCAGGCCCTGGTGTAGCCCTTCACCCGTGGGGTGCAGCGAAGGTGCAGAGGAGGTGACCAACTACATACTAAGCACTGCCTCTCATCAGCTCCACTGGCTGGGACTCTACCAGACCCTCAGACTTGACAGAAAATGGCTGCAATGGGAGGGGCAGCATTACTGAGAAATGCCCCCCTTGGGGAAGCGTAGGGCACACCAAAGCTGGTACCAGGCACGATGCTGACCCAGCATGTCACTTAGAGCTGAGGCATGACTTGGGGGAGATGCTGGAGCAGCACAAAGCACATCCACCCACAACAGGGAGAAGGAGCCTTCTACATTTCTGATTAGGCAGCCACAGCACATCCTTATCCCTAAGGAAATGAGTATTGACCTGACAGCACTGCCCCATCTCAGACCAGAGAACGGATGGCTCATCAGCCAACATCAGGACCCCAAATCTGGGAGGCAACATGAACATCCCCAGCAGGATTCACACTGCTCCCAGTCTCAGACTTAACGCCAGCAGGATTCAACCAACTGATTTCCTGCATCTTCTCCCCCATGCAATCCCATCTGCAAAGTCGCGGCCCCCTGCATGCTGCTGACAGGATTTAAGCTGACACTTACGCTACATTTGCAAATACTCAATGATTTGCTCCTGCACCTTAACCAAATTCACAAAGATACTGTTTCCCTTTCTCCAGCAAGTTAGGTTCACCTCTAACTTCAAACCCAGCGGGCTCTGCCTTGGGATTTCCCATCAGGGATAGGACTTCCAGTGCCCAGCTCCTACAACTCTTCTGCTGCTCCTTCCTTCTACCCTGGGAATTTGGGGTTTTACAACTCAAATGCCTTAAACAAACCAAAAAACAGCAGCACAATCACAGACAAAGCCTAGACCAGGACATACAATAGCCACCCATTGTTTCCCTCCTAAACTACCAGGACCTGCAAAGTTAAATTCAATGGCAAAAGTAGGGCTCACCTGCAAGCAGCAAAGTCCAGGCAGCTCTGAGCCTATTCAAACTTTCCTGAGCCTGTCCGGAGGGGGAAATCTCCCAGTCTTAAAGGCACAGGACCCTTTTCCCAATCCACTGAGAAAGAATTGCTGTTTGCTGGATCCCGTTGGCTGAAGGCACCCAGTGGCCCCTTTGGATTGGGGAGGGGACAGTGAGTTGACAATGTCTGAGAGTGGAACAGCTGAATCCTGTCACTGTGTGGGGGTGGATCCTACAAGTTTGCCACCGGAGCAGAGGCTTTAGTGAGGCGTTGCCAGGGAGTGAAAAATCCTTGTCCAGAATGTGGTGCTAGGGAGTCCGCACATATCCCCCTACATCCCCATCCCCTAGCAGATTGCTGAAGCACCTAGGCCAAGCCAGGGGCACAAGGTCTGCAAGAAAAGGCTCTTCATGTGGAGTCTATCTGGGACACCGGTGCTAGGGCTAGGGACAAACGTTACACACAAACCATTTAAAGTGATCACACACTGTAACACAACAGAAGCTCAGGGCACATAAACCGGTTTCAAAATGGCTGAAACTGGTTGAAGATCAACCTGGTTGAAGGTAGTATCAGACTTAACTGCTTTGGGTCAAACCCCTTTCTGAAACTTCTGTCCCAGACCCTAGTGTCTAATGCTCAACGCCCTGGCTCCCAGAGGTGAGCAGACAGGAGCCGGGCCCCAGGGTGGAGGGATGGGAGATGCATACAAGGACTGCATAGCACTGAGAGCGAAGAGAGAGGAGACATAAATCTCTGGAACCAGGAGTAGACTTAGACATGGCAGTGCTGGCTACTGTATAAACCCCAGATCCTTCAGGAGATGCTGAGGCCAGAAGGCCTCCTGGATAAGAAGTAGCACAGTGGCTAGGGCAGCAACTTAAGCCCAGAGAGAGCCAAGTTCAAGTCCCTTCTTTGCCAGGTTGAAAGCAAGAACTTGAACCTTGGTCTCTAGCATCAGAGGAATGCAGCTGGTGCACACACTTCTCCTTGTTCCCTGTCCTCCCTCCATCCCACAAGAGGCTGAGAGGGGATCTGGTGGCTGTCTATAACCTTGCCAAGGGGGACCTGCAGGCTATGGGAGAGTCCCTAGTTCCCCCAAGCGCTACCGGGAATAACGGTCATAAGTTGACTGAGAGTAGATTCAGGCTAGATATCAGGAGGTGCTACTTCACAGTCAGGGCAGCTAGGATCTAGAACCAACTTCCAAGAAGTGGTGCTGGCTCCTACCCTTGGAGTCTTCAAAAGGAGGCTAGATAGACACCTTGCCAGGCTCATTTGACCCCAGCGCTCTTTTCTGCTCATGGCAGGGGGTCAGACTTGATGATCTGCTCAGCTGCCTTCCAACCCTACCTACTATGAAACTGTGAAAGTCCTTTCCCTCAAGTGCAGGAAAGGCGTCATGGGGACAGGAGCAGTCTGGCTTCAAAGGGGAGGGGAGCCTCATTGCTGCAGCCAAGTGGAAGATAACAGAGCCAGGAGATTCCCTCTTTGAAGTGCAGGATGGAGATGCCCCCTGAGGTGGTCACAGGAGGTTGGCCACCTCAGGACTCAGACTTGGGGCTCCTGGTCCCCCCCATCCCTGCCCTAACCGCAACCCAGCACCTCCCTGTGGAACAGACCTTGCTGCTGGCCTCACATCTCCCCCCAGGGGCCTGACCTGCTAGAGGCAAGATCTGTGCCCACCTTCCTCTAAGGAAGGTGCTGCCTCAGGCCCACACCTCCCTCTTTGCACTGTTACATCACAGTGATTTTAAATATATTAAAAGACAGTAGGGCAGCACTTGAGGGTAAGGACTGTAACCTGGAGGGCAGTCATCCAGACAGGGGTGGGGGCTATGTAGAAAATCAGCTCTCAGTGCCATTCTGTAGCTTGTAGGGTTACCCTGACCCTTGGATGCATGAGTTGGAAGGTATCACCAAGAATAGGGAGGTGTGTTACCAAGTGGGACCGTGACTGGCACTGCATCCAGTTCCAGTGCATATATGTCAAAAGGGACCTTAAAAAAACTAGAAAGCATTCAGAGAAAAAGAGAATGATCCAAAGTCTGGAAACCTGACAGCAAGAGACTAAAGACTCAATTTTTCTTAGTCAACTAACATAAGGATAAGAAGGGACTTCCCAGTCTATAAAGACCTGTATGGGGGAAAGTTTGTAACAGCAAAGGGCTCTTCAGTGCAGGAGACAGAAGGATGAAACCCACTGGTAGGAAGCTGAACACATTTAGGCTAGCAGCGACTGTGGCCTTTTCACACTCCCTGAGTGAAGGTAGCTAAGATTGGAGCTCACCAAAGAGGGATTTGCAATTTTTACATCAGGTCTAGACTTCCTTTCTAAAGAGATGTTTTAGCTCAGCCCAAAGGCAAGCGCTCAATGCAAGACCCCTGGAGCTGCATATGTGGGAAACTGGTCTGGACAGTTAGAGTGGTACATGTAGAGAGAATTCAGGTCTTGAAAGGGGAATGTCTCTTCAAGGTAGGGAGCTGGATGGGCAGCTTGTGTGCACACATGCTTACTCTGTATATGCAGTTATTCCAAGGTACCCCCATGCTGGGGGAGCTGGGAAAGGAGGTGCTGGCAGGACTGCTTTGTAGCCCTGATTTCCACCTGGGGAAGGGGTAGTTGGTGGCAGAACCTCCCTTTTTCCCCTGAAGTAGAGGGAGAGTTGAAGGTGTTAGATTCTTCCTCTTTCCTCTCAGTCCCTCTGGAGAGGGGGGAAAACAGGAGAGAAACAGGCTGTCCAGGAAACAGCTGGGAACTCTCTCCCTTTCTCAAATGCTTCTGCTTTATTTAAAGGCATGAAGACTTGAAGTCCCTCAGCCTGATACTGATAATTCCTGCTGCTCCGAATTTGGCCTCCTGCCTCACAAGTCTCTGTATCACCAGCTAATGAAGGAGGAGGAGCTCTGGGAGAAAGGAACACTCTCAGGTCTAACAGAGACCTCTCCTCTAGTTTTAGGGGGAGGGGACACTTTTTCACTTAATCCTTACTCTTAGTTACTGGATGTGTGCCAAGGCAGGGCCTGTATTTTTTCACTAGTTCAGCAGCTCTCAGCTACCAACCTGGCATCAAGCTATAGCCCCTGTGGAGTGATTAAGTACCCTCACCTTACTGTGACAGTCCTAAGCACAGGCCTCCCTGCAGTCCCTGCCTCATCAGCTTGGCCTCCCTGATGCCAAGGTACAAAATGCCCATGAAGTTCCTGACATCCCCTGGGCAGGTCTGGTAGCCAGTGCCTGCCTCAGCGGCAGTTCTAGCTTGCTGGGCTGATGACAAGCCATAGGCCTTTGTGAGGTCATTAGCTCAGCACCTACAGCATAGAGGTCTGATGTCAAGGCAACACCAGGGTCACCATCCCAGCCCCTCTTGCTTGCTAGGGTGACACCAGGGGTCAGGTGTCTGTGATGTCACAGACTCAGGCTTGCTGGGCTGATGGTTAGATGCCAACCACAGTGAAGTCATTGCATCAGCACTGATACTCATACAGCACAGCAGAAAGACTGTGCTTCTGCAACCCAATACTGTGTAGTGCAATGGTACCAAAGCTGAGGCTCTGATCAAGTTACTGCTTTAACAGCCCTCATGAGCAGGGCTGGAATGTTTGGGCTCTGCAATCAGCTAAATTAAAAAATCCTCCTGTTCCTCCCCCTAACAAATGTGCCCTCATCCACAGATTAGCTCCCCTTCCAGGGACTATGCACTGGACAAACACACATGCAGGTCAGTGGAAAGCTTTAACTTTACTTATAATAAATAACAAAGCACTGAGCCTGTTGTGTATGTTCCAAGGCTTCTGGAGTCATGTCATTCACCCTCCTTCTGAGTCTTTTCACCTTAGCTGTAGATAGCAAAGTGTCTTGGGACAAATCATGCCACACAGTGTTTATAGTCAGGGTAGAAACAAGTTTCTTCTGCATTTGTCCAATTAAAGGTTAATCAGGAAGGTTGCCTTCATCACTGACCAGCCCTTGGATGCTGCCTCTGATACAGACAGGTGATTCTGCCCCAGAAGGCTCCTCATTGTCCTTAGACAGGAGAGAAGGGGAAGGGGGTGGAGGATGAGGTGGCACAGCAGTTCCTCCTGGCTGCTCTCCACCCTCTCCCTGATGAGAGCCCAGAGCCTGCGTCGCTTCCATCCCAGTTGCTGGGTGATTGCAGTACATTTCATGCTGGCTTGCATTTTCAGTTAGCAGATGCCTGTTTTCTCCAACACCTGAGCAGAGAATAAGAAGAGGGAACATAACATTGTTCTACTGCTGACAGGGACAAATAAGAGGTCGCTTGAGGATAAAAGCCAGAGTAAAATACCCTGGGAAAAATCTTGCAGACTCCTATTCAGGCAAAACACCACTGAATTCAATGGGGGTTTTGTGTGAATCAGGACTTGTGAGTTAAGGTCCATGTCCTAGACCAGTCCATTATCCCATGATAATGCCTCTCAGCTTTTATACTGTGCCACTGTCTTGGTATCAGACCACTTTATACTGGAAGTAAAAGTTCCAAAGTTGTCCCTCCTGTATCTAAGCCACCTACATTCAACCTTTCCTGTATTCAACAACTTTAATATTTGTGTTTCAAGTATTTTATTTTTAAAATGACACATTTCTATAAATAGCCAAATAACATTCAGCATCTTATAGGTCAAAATGAATTCACCTCTTGTGGGATTCCCCCAAGCTTTTCAAGTGCAGTCCTTATGCCCTCCACCTCCCTTCTGCACCCCTTTTGCTTGGTCTCATGAGTGATCTCTGAATTCAAGTGTCAGTGATCTCTGTGGTCCCATGAGAGGTTCAAGTTTTACTGCATTCTCTGGAATGCACTTGCAAATATCTGCAAGGTTTCAGCACATTTTAAGAACCTACATGGATTTCTGCTCTTCATTTGCCTCTGGAGCATCCAGCACTGGACATTTGTAGAGGCACATACCAGACTGGATGCATCAACAGTTTGAGACACTGAGGCAATGCATATTCCAGCTACAACTTTCTTCACTTCCAGCTAATCAGAGTGTGGCAGAGTAATGTCACACTGCCCTAGCGACTGGTATGACCAAGCTCATTGGTTTTGAACCACCTGCCATACACAGCTCCACTCTGGGTACACACAGAAGTGCAGCTCTCCATTGTAACTCATAATGCTTTGCAGAAAGTGTTCTGAGGCACAAGATCCCCCAGACCAAATAGAAGCTCTCTGGTGATTCCAGGGGGAAAGGGAATCCAGCTGCTGGCTGTGAGTTTCCAGCCTGTTTCCTCTAGCAATGGTCTCTCCTCTCTGCCAGAGGGGTGCTGTTTTCAGAATGGGAGGGAGGAAACGGAGCTCGTTCTAAGGGTTCCCTAGCCGGAAACTTTCTGAAAACAGCTCTGAGTCTTGGAGGCAGCACAGACACGATACTGAAGCCACTCTGTTCCGAAACATTTTCATCTGAACCCTCGTGCAATAAGGGTTCAGATTTTCATGGGATTGGGTTCTTTTAAAACACTTTGCAGATATGCACTTCTGTTGGGTCATGGCTGCAGTGCACTTTCAGGGGCCAGACTGGGTGAAAACTGTCACCTCTGTCTGTGCCTTCTGTTGACATATAATGTGAATACATTGTCCTTACAGTAACCAGACACATTCCATGGCAGAGACATTAGCAACACTCACCCCCAAGGACTAGATTTGTTGTGCTGCTCTTGCACTGCACAGGCTTCACTGAAGATCTCCTCTTCCCAAGTCCCGTAAGCTGCTCTGTGAGGCTTTTCACTTCATGGCACTCCCTCTCTGCAGACTAAAGAGGTTCACAAATACTATACACATCTTAGAAAGATAGAAGATAAAAGTGATATTCCTCTGGAGCCATTTCAGACTTTCTTTCAGCAAAAGAATACTTTCAGCTCTTCACTCACTTAACGCCTAGCCAGGTCAGCCAGAAGCAGCTTACAGGTTGAATTAATCAAAAGAAGAATGGGTTAGTTTCCATCTTCTCCCATTATATCCTTTGCCTTCCTTTTCTCATGGCAGTGTTGCACACAGTACCTCCCTCAAGCTTTCCTGCTCATCTAAGATAGCATAAACTAACTCCTCATAACTAGAAGTTTGTGTGTAGTAGGCTTTCAGTGAAAGAGTGCCAGACACCATCCAGCCAAGCTACTGTGCTAATCTTTTAACTAGAGGCAAACAAGTGGAAAGTCAAATTTGCATCTCTAAAATAATGTAATTACAGAGCTTGGAAGAAAGCAAGGGCTGAGTCAAATGAAATCTCACTGGTCACCATTTGCCAATGGGGAAGTCTGGCTTGTTTTGTGCAGGGTATGGATATTATCAGGTCACAAAGAGAGCTGAGACTACTGGCTATCAGTGGGCCTATTTTTGGATATATTGATTTCTGGGACTGAAGGAGGTTGAAGCAACAGGAAATTGCTCTGTCGACTTTGCTGTATAATGGGTTGCATTGACCCTTGAGGGTTCAGAGCTTTTCTAGACTGGCTGCAGAAGAGAAAACAAACCATCCTCATACCAGTACCCTCTGCAGAGGGAAACAAGAGGATCTGCTTGGCAGTTAATCTTTGTCACCCTGACAATTAACCTGGTAGAGCAATAAGGATATGCCTAAGAACTCACAGAGAACAGAATATGAATGTACTCTAAATATGCTAACCCAGACAGCATGGAAGTGAGAATCTAACAAAATATTTGGAATGCTGATGGTTCTCTCTGGAAGCTGACAGATGTGCAGCTCCCCAGTCTAACTCATAGGGCTTTACAGAAAGCACCATGAATGAGACCAACAGACATTCGCCACTGGATCAGGAGGGTGGGTGATCGAGCTCCGCTTCGGAGCCAATCCAGGGAGAGAGGCTACATGTTTGCAACATCTGTCCTCTAGCCCTGCCTCCCCTCTCCCAGCTCTCATGCTGTCTCAGGATTTAGCGGGGGGGGGGGGGGGGGGGGGGCCGGGAAAAGGGGGG